TTCCGGCGTTGATTTTTTTTAGTGTTTTTTAAAGTTTTTTTTTGTTACTTTTTATATTTTGTTTGATTTATTGACAAGTGAACGTAATTATATTATTGTCGTTGACAGTAAAATTACCGTACACGCAATAATATTACTGTCAACAACACCAATATTATTATTTTTTTGGGTTTTTTGTTTTGTTTGAGTTATTCACGGAGTAACGTAATAATATTACTGTCTATTATTGTAATATTACTGTAAACACAATAATATTACTGTGGTTGATTGAATATTACTGTTGTTATAGTAATATTGTTGTCAACCACATCAATATTATTATTTTGTTTGGATTTTTTTGTTTGTTTGAGTTATTCACGGAGTAACGTAATAATATTACTGTCTATTATTGTAATATTACTCTGGTTGATGGTAATATTACTGTTGTTATAGTAATATTACTGTCACTCACAGTAATATTATTCTTTTGGCTTTTTATTATGTTTACATTTGTTGAACGGTCAACATAGTAATATTACTCTATTAAACAATAATAATAATGAGTTTTGTTGTGTTAATATTACTGTGCTAGAGATTAATACAACAATATTATTGTGTTAAACTGTGGTTTATTAATTTTACTGTGTTTAACAGTAATATAATTAATATTACTGTCAATCACAACAATATTGCTGTGAACGAAAAAAAAAGTTATAGAAAGAAAGAAAAGAAAAAAAAAATCGAAAAAGTTAACGCCGGAGACCGGCGAAAAAATCCGGAAGAAAAAAAAAAGAAAAAAAAATTGAAAAGTCAACGCCGAATTCCGGCGGGAAAAAAAAAATTTGAATTTTTTTTTTGTTTGAGAAAACAAAGTTTTGGGTCAAAATTGAATAATTTGTGAAATTTGAGGTCAAATTGAGGTTAAATTAAGTTAAGGATGAAATTGGAGCATATTAAAGTATGAGGGGTTATCTTAGCCCTTTACATAAATGTGGACCATGTGTAGACTTATTGGTAAAAGAGTTTTGTGTCTGGATCTATTTATGAATAAGTATCCATTGATGAGCTTATTTGTAATGACCCCATAAAACTATCTTAATAAATGATATGTTCTATTACATTTATAGCAATATTGACCAAGAAAACACAATTTTTATTCATTTATTGATTTATAAACCAATAAATCCAAATAATTGTTAAAAAAAAAAGAAAGAAAGAAGGAAATATGGCAGTGAAAAAGAGCCTTTGAAGTTTGAAGCTCGGTTCAATAGGCAAAAAAGGTAGGGATAGTAGCGGGGCGGGTATCATCGAAAAAGTAAATAGCAGAAATATAATGTTTTTCCAGCCTTTTTTTTAGTTTCGCTTTGATTATTTAAAAAAAAAGTCATAACATAATTTTATAAATATTTCTTTTAATAACTAAAAAAAATAATATTTTTTCAGCATTTTTATAGTTTCGTTTTTCCAAAATAAAATGTAATATTTTTTAAAACAACTACAATTTTTCTAAGAATCAACTAAAAGAATTCGATTTTTTTTCATATCATTTATTTTGAATTCATTCATTTTATGTTTTTTCCCGAGCATATTTATCAAATTGACAGATTACTACATATTATTGAAATAACGATAAAAAAATCAAAATCAACTAAAAATGTAAAAAACAACTAAAAATACATAACTAATTTTATTTTTATTTTTTTTAATTCATATTTTACGATTTTTGTTTTTTGAGCAGGTCATATAGTTGGAAAAAATAAAAAATCGAAATCAACTACCAAAAGATTGAGAATCAACTAAAAATGTCGAAAACAACTAAAAACTACCGAAAACAACTAAAAACAAATAGTAGGATAACGAAAACAACTATAAAAATAACAAAATAACAAAAATAGCTATATTGTTGTAAAAGATACCCAACATCAAAAGCATCACAAAAAAAAAAAATCAAAACAATGGCGACGACGGAACAGAGGCAGCGGCGGCGGCATAATCACTAGATCCGGCGGTGGAGTTGAGGGGTGGAGGTAGGGAGAGATTTTTGAGTTTTTGATATCGTCTTCTACAACTAGATAGAGAATTGCAGTGATGGCGGCAGCGGCGGGGCAAGATCTTCAGATCTGGTGGCTTCGACTTTAATGTTGAGAGAGCGGAAATGCGCTACGAGCTAGCGCGTCCTTGAGACTGTTCTCAAAGTCGGAGGCTCATGCTATGAGTTTCATAGATTGGTGGTGGAGGCTAGGATGGAGTAGTTCTTGCTGCACCATGGATTTAGTCAAGACGGAGAGAAAAAAGACAAAACGGGCTATGGAGAGAATGACAAAAATGAGAGAACAGAAGGTAGGAGACAGTTGAATGGCGTAAGAAAATTAGACTAGATGTGAAATAATATATATTAAGGGCAAATTATGTATTAAGCATAGCAATTTTAAAAATATTAATTTAATTTAATGATTAAAGGGTGTGTGACTAATATTAAAGAAATGGGTTGTATCCATACTAATACTACCAAATGTGTTGGGGGTTTTTACTAATAATCCCTCCCATTTATTTAAACTTTATTTAAAATTACCGAATTTTATTTATTATTATTATTATTATTATTATTTTTATTATTATTATTATTATTATTATTATTATTATTATTATTATTATTATTATTATTATTATTATTATTATTATTATTATTATTATTATTATTATTATTATTATTATTATTATTATTATTATTATTATTATTATTATTATTATTATTATTATTATTATTATTATTATTATTGTCGGGTACCCACTGCCGATAGAGATGGCAACGGATCGGTTATGGGACGAGTTTATCTGAACCCCAGTCCCAACCCGCAAAAGAATATCAAATCCAGACCCTCCCCAATACGTTTTAATTTAGACCCGGACCCGCCCAAATCCATATCCGAATTAAATGGTTCTGACATATTCCCAGAACCGATAACATAAAAAAAAAGTTAATATTTTTTAACTTTCATAATATTTCACTGTTATGTTTTAACAAACAAATCTTAAATTTAAAATACAATATTTATAAAAACTTGTACAAGTGATATAAAGTGAATAATAAAATTACATAATTAATTATATTTAACTTCTACAATAAAAAAAATTCAAAAGGCAAGATGAGTAGCGGTGGTCGACCAGTTTGATAGATATTACCAATGTTTTTAAAACCGGACCGGACATTGACCCGGCTAGCCAACTGGGTCACGGTTGGACCGATTCAACCGAGGTTCAACCGGGTTTTTGAATATTTTTATTTTAATATTATTTATATTTAATTTAATATAAAAATATTGTAAAAATAAATTAAAAAAGCCTACTAATTATTAAAAATCAACCTAAATATTCAATTCAACTAATTATCCAGCAATAAATATTAAATATTGAAGACCAAAAATACAAATGCACATAAACAACACATTCCATAATTTAAATTAAAAAAGTGAAAGAATGAGACAGTGCAAAAAAGTCAAAAAATTAATCGAACCAAAAAAAAAATGAGTAATACAAAGAAAGAGAAAATATTCTGAGAGTACCCACTCCCCAAGCCCCCTCTCTATCTCTCCTCTCTTCTCTCTCTATATCTCTTCTTCTTCCTTCTTACAACCACAACCACCCAGTTCTACTGCAACTTATTTCTATTTATTTTCTTCCGATAGCTACAGTCCAAGATTCATCCCAGCCCGTATAACCGGCCCCCTCGGAAATCACAGCCCCTCTTTTTGTCATTCTTATTCTTTTATTTTCTCCCCTTTCCGAACATCTCAATCAAGATTCCTCACCCACTGCCTAGATTTTCTTATTTTTTCTTGGTTTGTAAGAACCGGTCCTTCAACGGTTCACCCGGTCCGACCGTAATTTTTTTCCGGTTCTTAGACTGTGACCCGGTTTTTTGATACTTATGGGTTTATGTGTTCAACCGGACCGGACTACCGTCCGGTTCCCGGTTAAACCGGTCCGACCGGCCGGTCCGGTCCGGGTTTCAAAACATTGGATATTACTTACGAGAAACAATAGTCAAATATAAAAATTGGCAAATGAGAATAGACACGATGAAAGCTGGAAGTTTGATGAATAAAATCCAACATTAATTTGTGTGTATAGATTAACTATTAAATATAAGGGTAAATTACACCCACACCCTTGAGGTATGCTTAAATAACTGTAAGGTCCCTGTGGTATCGATAATTACACTCACCCCCCTGAAAGGTACTTAAAAACTCTAACGGGATAATGTATTGGATGCATTATTCCGATAGGGTTCTAATGGACTATTGGTTTCAGGAAGTGGTGAAGACAACAAAAAGTTATGGGTGATTTAAGAAATATTGGGGGAGCCATGTCACCCCATAACTCCCTATACTCGATGTATCTCCACACTAGCTAAAAGTAATAGTCCATTAGAACCCTATCGGAATAATGTATCAATACATTATCCCGTTAGTGTTTTAAGTACCTTTCAGGGGGGTGAGTGTAATTATCAATACCACAGGGACCTTACAGTTATTTAAGCATACCCCAGGGGTGTGGGTGTAATTTACCCTAAATATAATATATTTATACGGGTCGGTTCCAATAAGACCCGTAATCCGATCCAAAACTGTTCGGTTCTAGAAACTTAAAACTATTACCCGACCGATAATCATTTAACTTACCCAAACCCGCCCCAACGGGTCGGTTCCGGGTCTAAGACCCGCCAAACCCTTACTTACCCATTGCCATCCATAATTACCGACGGATAAAACCAGAAACATACCAAGACCACGACGGTTTGTGTTTATTTTACCAAAATTATTACCCTACCCTAATAGTTTCGAAAGCGGATTTTAAATGGGACGAATACTCATGGGTAGTTAGCTGATCGGATATTTTTTGCCATCACTAAACAAAGGGCCTAAAACGTATGGGTATAAACGCGCGAATGAAGAGCGTGGGATACTTTATCTTGATAAAGTAGGAAAAAGGCAGCAAGAAAAGAGATATGTCCATGTTTACCATCATCATTCATTCATCTCATTTCAGCCCCGGGGCACTTTGCTCTTTCGAACCAACCAGCCTAATAATAATATCCCTTCAATATCTATTATCTCCACACTTTCTCTCTCTTGCCAACTCAACTCACTCTCTTTCTCTCTCATAAATAAAAGAAACACACTTTACATGCATCTGCAATTAATGCACCATCTTCTCCCACTCCCCAACCTCAACCCCAACACCAACAACAATCTTTCTCCTCCAGTAGTTCTGCTTTCTGAATGAATTACACACTTCTGAATTCTTATGACAATTTAAATTATACAGTTGCTCCAACATTTTCCTTTTATACATACATGCTTATATATATACACACTCAGAAATAAACTGAATCTGCCCATCAAGAACAAGGTATATATACTTCTCATTTCTTTTTTCTTCTCTTAAAAAAATGTTGCTGTAATTTGAGTTTCCCCCTCTTCGATTTCACTCTATTTGTTTCTATTTCACTTCTTTGTAGAGGAATTTTGTTATTTTCTTCGGCAGTAAATTAATCCACAAGCAATTTTGTGCTTCAGAATTCCCCCATTTTGCTTGATCTGTGGTTTGCTTTGCTTCTTTCAATTTCAATTTTAGTATGATTCTGTGTTGAAGAATTAACCTATTGTTTTTTTACGCCTTTTGCATTTCTTAATTCCTTAACCTAGGAACCTGAAACCAGATCTTACATTTTTGTGTATTTTTATTTTTTTGAGATCTATGAGTACCTCAGATGTTCTATTTGAATCTAGTTGTTTTAGCTGTAAATAATTTATGTTTTTTGGGTAAACCTCAGTAGATAAGAATGGGGGGTTTTCTGAATGTGGGTATAAAATAATAATAATAAAAATAATAATAGTTTGGATTGGTTTAAAGGGTTATCTTGTTTTATGCTTTTGTTCTGTGGTGGGAAATTTGATAACAATTCCAAGTTTTGTCTGTCTGTCTTTCTTTGTTTTGCCTTCAAATTCAAATTTTATATTCCAAAGGTTGTGCTATGGCAGCCATGAAATCATTGGAAACAGTTAAAAATATGCATAAGATTCCAGTCAAAGGACAAATGGTTAAGACAGCCTTGTAATACTATTATTATATTCCCCACTTCACATGCTTCATCTTTTAAATTCAGTTTTTGTTTCAATCTGGAGTTTACTTTCATGCAGCTGCCTGCCATCTTTTTTTTTTTTGTTATATTCAATTGCTAAATTAACAAATTGAATTGATTAATAATATCTTCCCTACTCTTTTTAGCTGGCTCGGTTATCGGTTCGTGTCTTCATCGGCGAATTTGACATTTGAATTACAGAAACGGGTCATTTCTATCTTTAGTATTAAAGCGCCGGGATCTACTTATTTTTTTTAACTCGGTTGATGTACTATCCTTGATCTGTAATTATCTTCTGAGATTTGTTCATACGAAGAAGACGAACAAGAACAAGAACCTTATTCTTTAATATTGAAGCGAGATGGTCTGAGAAAATGGGGGGTTGCGTATCAATTAGTAGTCAGAGTAATTGTAGTAGCAGAAGTAATGGAGAGAAAATATCTCCGTCGTGTTTGTGGGTAGATATGTTTCAGCGAAAGAGAAGTAGGCGAACATTTTCCGACCATGCCACTACTTTACAACATCTCTCCTCTGTTCCTAATCGGATATTTACAAACGGAAGGAGCACCAGTTCTTGCATATTCACTCAGCAGGGCCGTAAGGGAATTAATCAAGACGCCATGATTGTGTGGGAAGTAAGTCCATTATTATTACATGCCGAGACTCGTCTTTGTCCTATCTATATTCAAGATAAAACATTCTTAATCTTGCGGTTTTTCTTTTTGGGCAGGATTTTATGACCGATGATGTTACATTTTGTGGTATATTTGACGGGCACGGTCCACACGGACATCTAGTTGCTCGTAAAGTGAGGGATACACTGCCATTAAAGCTATCGTCTTTTATGAACTCGGCCGAATCGAAGAAAAATAGATCTAATGCTAATTGCTGCAATGGAGATATGAAATCAGATGTGGTGGACCCCGTAGTAAAAGATACATCTGTAGATTCATTATGGAGAGAAGCTTTTCTGAAATCTTACAAGTCGATGGACAAAGAATTGAGGTCCCATCCTAATTTAGATTGCTTCTGCAGTGGTAGCACTGCTGTCACTCTAGTAAAACAGGTATATATATTAGAATCCGTTTTTCCATTTTATCATATGATATGTGATTTCCTCGTGTATGTATGTATATACGCTAAGCTTCTCCAATTATGTTTGAAGGGTTCAAATCTTTTCATGGGCTATATTGGTGATTCGAGAGCAATATTGGGATCTAAAGATAGCAATGATTCGATGGTTGCAATCCAATTGACGGTTGATCTAAAGCCTGATCTACCCAGTATGTCATAAAATTTGTGGCAGCACAATTATTTTCTTTTTACTTTATTTGTCTTGTTTTACTTATATTTGATTAAGTGGCAACTCTTTAAGATGTATATTTGTTGAAAAAGGGGAGGCGGAAAGGATAAAACGGTGCAAGGGTAGAGTATTTGCACTACAAGATGAGCCTGAAGTGCAAAGAGTTTGGCTGCCATTTGACGATGCACCTGGTTTAGCAATGGCTCGTGCTTTTGGTGATTTTTGTTTGAAGGAATACGGAGTTATCTCCATTCCTGAATTCTCTCATCGGATTCTCACCGACCGAGATAAATTTGTTGTTCTTGCTTCAGATGGGGTACGTACGTCTTTCAGTTTTTAACCTCATTGTTTTCGTGTGGCTTATTTTTTTTTCGTCTTTTTTTTCTTTTCCGATTTATGTCTTTAAATTATAAAAAAAAATGCAGGTATGGGATGTCTTAAGCAACGAAGAAGTGGTGGAGATAGTTTCATCGGTCGCAACAAGGGCATCAGCCGCTAGAACCGTGGTGGAATCAGCCGCTCGTGAATGGAAATCGAAATATCCGACATCTAAGATGGACGACTGCGCAGTTGTTTGTTTATTTCTAGACGGTAAAATGGACTCCGAGTCTGATTATGAGGAACAAGGTTTCTCATCTGCTACCATCCAAAGCAATCACTCTGGCAATATTGCTGTTGAAGAATCGGACGATGGACAGAACTCCGAGCCTTGTCTCCAGAGAAACTACACCGTCCGATCTTCTGATCAGGAGAACGATCATTATAACAGGGTGGGGGTTGATGTAGAAGATTGTGGCATTAGTGAAGATCAGAACTGGTCCGGTTTGGAAGGGGTTACGAGAGTCAACTCTTTGGTTCAACTTCCCCGATTCTCTTCTTCTGAGGAGAGGCCCAGACCTTGACTTTATATTATTACTACATCACTCAATTTCATTATTATTATTGTTTTTGTTATGACAATTACTGGGCGTTATGTGTCTCTCTGATCCAAGAAAGTACAACAAATGTTTCTTGGATTTGATCGAATCTTGTTTTATTATGGTTTTAGTGAATGTTTAGCATGTGTTATATTTTTTGTATAGCGTTTGCACCGTTGGATTGTTCTTTCTTATATGTATAGTAACCGTTTTCGTTTATTCAATACCCTCTCAACACAAACACACAAGAAGCGTGGCCTTTTACCTTTCCCATAACTACACTCGATTAGTGCTCGTGAGCCGACAATTCATTGGTCGGAATTGTTGGTTCATCATAAATAATTCCCTAACTCGAAAACCTCAAGTCGACGATGTGATCACTCTTCATAACTTGAGTAGACACTTGAAGGTGCCTGTACGACTTCAAGCCCGATTTATTCCATGTTCCACTCCGAATGTCTATTTGATCAAAACATCAACGTTGTGGATATTTTAGTTGGTTTTCCATAGCATTTTGAATCAAAGCAATCAGACATAATATGAGAGAGTTACGACCCGAATGGCAAAATTACCAAAGAGAGGCGGGGATTTGGAAAAACATCCATGTTGTAGATATTTAAGTTGGCTTTCCATAACATTCTGAATCAAAAGCAATCGAACATATGAGAGAGTTATGACCTGAATGGCAAAACTGCGAAGAGAGGCGGGGATTTGGAAAAACATCAATGTTGTAGATATTTAAGTTGGCTTTCCACAATGTTCTGAATCAAAAGCAATCGGACATAATATGAGAGAGTTTTGACCTGAATGGCAAAATTGTCGGAGAGATGCGGGGATTTGGAAAAACATCAATGTTGTAGATGTTTAAGTTGGCTTTCCACAACATTCTAAATCAAAGCAATCGGACTTAATATGAGAGAGTTATGATCCGAATGACAAAATTGCCAGACAGAGGCGGAGATTTGGAATGCACAAAATTTAGTTGGTTCAATGAATACCCTCTTTCTTTTTCGTCCAGTCCCTCCCATGCACTCTTCGACCAAGTTATTTAGTTTGAATATTGTCATTTAGAACACGAACTCGCCTAAACTCGTGCGATTTCGCTCCTTCCAAATTTCCGTCTTAGATCTTGTCAGGGTCGTACCATGCAGGTTGGAACTATTCAAATCTTTAGGCCTTTTGGAACAAGGATAATATTTGATAGACAACATATAATCAAGGTATATCAAACATTTGCGATCTTTTTTTTTCTTAAAAAATACATTTAGGTTTACATTTGAAGCTTGTACCTAAAAATGAGTATACTAATCAAACATATAATTAATATTGGGTACAAATCCAAGTCCAACCCCTCTTATTACACAATCTTATAAGAGATATAGGTGATTGTATAATCATAAATCCAAATATTAGATAATTACATCTTACATTATAGGGGCTATTTCATAATTTTAAAAGGAGTTTTTATGGGAGGAGGTCCACGACCAATCATCTTTATTATTTTTTTTATAATAATAATAATAATAATAATAATAATAATAATAATAATAATAATAATAATAATAATAATAATAATAATAATAATAATAATAATAATAATAATTAATTTTTGATTTTCCGAAGTTTCGATTTCTGATTTTTTCAATTTTATGTGGAACGGAATTGGAATGGTATACAAAATTACCGAAAATTCAGATTTTCGGTCTGATTTTAGTTCCAAATATTTCTATATTTTTTCGAAAATATATAATTTAATTTAGGGTCTATTAGGATGTGTCCAACCTCTTTTTTCACTTATTATTGATAGCCCAATCTATTCTTTTATTCCCAAATTTACCCCCTCTATTCACTTTCCATTAACCACCATCTTAGTGCCCTTTTCTTTTCTTTTTTAATTTTTTTCGTTTATTTATTTAAAAAGGATTAAAAAAAATCAGTTTTTTTTTCTTCATAATTTACTAATTTTTTTTGAAATCAACTATAATATTTCCAAAATCAACTACAATATTTTCGAAATCAACTGTAATATTTCCAAAATCAACTATAATTTTATTTATTTATTTAAATTTTCTGTTTTTTAAATTTTATTTTCCATAATTAACTACAAAATTATTGAAAAAAAACTATTTTTTTGGTTCGTTTCCCTAGAATCAACTATAAGAAAACTGTAAAACAAGTAAACAAAATAGTTGTTTACAAAAAAATAGTTGTTTATTATAGCTTATCAAAAATATAATCAACTAGAAAACAACTATTTAAGCTTTCCTGAAATTAACTATTTTTTTTTCAATAAAATCAACTACGGAGTACGAAATCAAATATGAAATTTTTTTAAATCAACTATAAAATTGTCGAAATCAACTATATATAAAATTGTCGAAATTAACTATATATAAAATTGTCAAAATCATCTACAAAATTATTGAAATCATTTCGAAAGTATTGATATCAACTACAAAATTATTGAAACAACTATAACATATCGAAAACAACTATAACATATCAAAATCAACTATTAAACTGTTCCTAAGTTAGCTTCTAATCAACTACGTATTTAAATCAAAAAAGTTAAAGTGTTCATCAATTAACAACATCAAAGCATCAAAAGAAGAATAAGAATTATTAACACAAAACCAATTATAATGACTCTCCATGCATCACCCTTCATGCAACTCAACAAATCACCTTCTGGAAAATACTGATTCTTCCATCACGCCAATCCCAAAATCTAAATCCACATAGATCAGATCTGAGGTCAAATGGTGATGGGATTCATGATATGGTCAAAATACCTTGTGGATCAATGAATAAAGATGTCGATGCCGCCGTTGTACCGCCGTTTTAGAATCGCTCTAAACCCTAGGCACGACAACGTGAATATGAGAGATCAATATCTTTGGTGACTGCAAGGGCAACGTTAGTCGGGCATTAACGTGGCGAAGGAGGTAGCGGCGAATGGCGGCGACGGCACAAAGATGGAAGAGGGTTGGAGGCGGCGGTATGTGGAGAGAAAAGAGAGAAGGGAAGAAGAGTAATAGAGAGAACGTGAAATATGTTTGGTTAATTTTAGATATAACATAAAAGGGCAAATTAGGTATATTAGTCATGTCAAATACATTATTAATTAAAAAGAATTTTATCTAACACAAGAGGGGTCTCACTAATAATGAAAAGGAGGTTATATCCACCTTAATATAAGTAAATTAGTTGGGGGTTCTCACTAATTATCCATTAATTTTATGATATATTTTGTAATTTCATAGTATAACTTACGTCATATTTTATATAAAAAAAAAACATACCACATGCTCAAGTAAATTAAAACCTTAGAAACAATTAATTGGTATCAGAAACGTTATGTTGCTTTTTTCCGTATAAGAAAATATATGTTTCAATTTGTTGTTTCCACATGTGTTTTTATTTATTGCGTTTTTTTTTTAACTCTCTTTTGGTTTTTCTTACATTTTCCTGCAAAATTTCAAAAAATATGGAAAATAATTGTTAAAATTTTCATTATATCCGAATTTTGAACAAGTTTATAAACTAATGTAATTTTCGAAATTCCGCCGATTTCGAGGCTTTCCGAAATGAGAATGAATTTTTACATTCCATTTTTTTTTGAGAAATTTTGGAACGAAAATTGGAATCCGTTTTTTTACTTTCGGAAAAAATAGAAATTTTTCAAAAAAGCTACTCCCTCCGTCCCATATTATGTCTTTTTAGAGAGTTTTTTTTGTCCCAAATTATTTGTTATTTTAGATTTTCAATAAAGCATTATTTTCAATTTTACCCTTAATCACTCTTAATTAATTAATTGAGAATCAATTGATGTCAATGATATTTTAGTAATTTTATATGTTCTTTTACTATAATCTATGCACATTTATTGATTTTTTTAATATGTGCAAAACAACCCTAAAAGACATTTAAAGGTATATTTTCCAATCCAATGTGTTCGATTTCCACCCCTATCCCCACCCGATAACATGTTAAATTCAGGTATTAAGTGTGAGCAGAAATTGGTGAACATTGTAACAACTAACAGAAAATGTCACTATCATACGCTGCCAACTCAAGTTGGCTATTTGATGCATGAAACATATACAGTGCAAGAAATCAAATAGAGAAATGAGTTTGTTGAAGAAATCATATAAATAAAGAAGGGTAATAATATACGCAGGTCAAATTAAACATTCATGCACTTTTTTACCATGATTTTTTACCTTTTTACCATAAGTATTTACCTTTTGTACTATTCCTACGAAATGAAAAAAATAAAATAAAAAAATTAAATTGTTGTGCTCATGCAAAAACATGCGAGAATTTCAACAGTGCTCGTGTGAAATCAGACGAGCACTGTTGAAATGCTCGCATGTTTTTGCACGAGCATCTTATAATTCAAAAAATAAATTTATAAAAAAAAAAAATAATTAAAAATGCTCGTGTAAAAACACGCGAGCGGTTGAAAAGCGTTCGTGTGATTCGTGTAAAAACACGCGAGCGGTTGAAAAGCGTTCGTGTGAAATCACACGAGCCCTTTTCAACCGCTCGTGTGTTTTTACACGAGCAATTAAAAAAAAAAAAAAAAATTAACAAGGCCTGACTTTGGCCTGCTCGTGTGGATTTACACGAGCGCATTGGATGCGCTCGTGAAAATTCACACGAGCAGGCCAAAGTCCGATTTTTTTCGTTTTTTTTTTCGGATTCGTAATCTACATAACAAGAGGATCGTAAAAACGTAAAAATTACCTCCGATCTGTTGACGATTTCCATCACCAAATTGTCTCAATTCACCACCAAAGATTGTAAAATGTCATAAATACCCCTAAAATTTATAATCCACCACCCTTCCTTATATTAACTTAATTCTCATGTGTTCTAACTTATTTTTATTTTATTAATTTTTTAATTTTTTAATTTAAAAAAAAAATATTATGTTTTCATTTTTTTACAATGAAATATTTATTACATGATTTTTAGACTTTCATATCAGATGACAAACAGATTATGTAATTTTGTTTTTAGGAAATAAAATTATATTAAGCTAAATTGATTAATTCTTGAGGAAGTTCAGGACCTTCCATGCAATCAATCTTAATTTATTTCTCAAAAAAATGAATTTCTGCTCTTTTTGACCTTCGAAAATGTTTTTCTCTCGTAAAAGTATTATTCACTTACGGTGGACAGGGTGAGATTTCCCGTGAAAATGGTGAGATTTTTTTTTTTTTGGATAAATATTTTAATTAGTTTAGAGGTAGATGGTTTATAAATATTGAAAAATATAGGTGAAAGAAGAAGAAAAGGGTAAAATTGGAAAAATATTTAATTTGGTGGTGAAATAAGATATTTTGAGGGTGGAAATAGCACGTCGTCTCATTTTTAATCGACCCATTGGATCGGGTCAAAAAATTCAACCACCCATTTATAATAGGTCGATTGGTGGTTTCTAATATTATGAAAAGTTGGTTGACCGATAATTATCGGTCATTCAACTATATTATTAAAATTTTATTAAAAGTATAAAATAACGGCCGTGTTTTCTTAAATGGTTATTGAAATTATCAAAATAATTAGTATTTTATAATTTAAATTTTGAAAACAATCAACAAAGAAAAAAAAAATTGACATAAATCTTCCTTCAGTTTCTTTATGCTCAAACTTAAATAAAAAGCCCAGAAAACTCCACTAAATTTCTTGTGCCTGTTTACTTTGAATTTCCTAATTATATATTTTTGTTAAATTGTTATTAATTATTTTGAATTGATAAATGATGATTGCACTGTGGCATTGCGCAGAACTTGGATATTTTTACTCCAAAATTTTAATTTTTTTTTAAGTGAACTAGGTGGCGGTTATAAACCATCAACCGACCCAGAACTAAATATTCGATTGCTAACCATCAACCGATTCACAAAGGTTGGGTCGGCAATAGTTTTCAAATTTGAGCAAAAATGGTTAGACGGATGGGTCAGTTTTTAGGGTGGTAATCGACCGACCCAACCCAATCACAACCCTAGTTTTACAATGCTTCAATTGCAATATTATAATAAGACAAATAAAAGGTTTGTATTCTTTACGGTGCTATTGCTTTCAAACAATAAACTAATGTTTTGTGATATATGAAATTACTTTGGCTGTTACATAAAGAATCTAAAGTATTTATTAGTGCTAAATTATTGGTTTGTGAAAAGGATTCATTCAATCATCTTTAATGTACAACTATTTTGTATAAGCCCATTATATATATATATATATATATATATATATATATATATATATATATATATATATATATATATATATATATATATATATATATATATATATATATATATATATATATATATATATATATATATATATATATATATATATATATATATGCATGAAAATTCAACGAACTCATGCAAATAAATACTCTACACATGCATGATTATAAGTACACACAAAATCCCTTAACTCACCGTCAAAACAGAGTCACAAAAATTCAAGTATAAAAAACCATAAAAAACATTCACACATTTCCACCATCACAAAGCAACTGATAACCATTAATCTTCATAAGATATTCTTCTTTCCTCTGCCTCCACATTCTAAGGCCATATGGCTTCCCACACCGGAGCATTTCTAGGTTTTCTCGTCTTCTTGTCAATCTCTATGGCAGTACTTCATAATAGTACTGCCGGAGCACGAAACATCCCGGCCGATGCCAAGCTGGAGCCCGAGTGGTTCGGACATTACGATCGATCAGTGTTGATCCCAGGCATCGGCCGAGTGATGCTACCTCCAAAAGGGTCCCACTTCAACTTGAACTACAACCCCATTACCGGTTCCCCAAATGGCAACGGTGTTTCCATCCCCGGAGTTGGTGGTGGTGATCCGGCAGGGAGCGGAAGCCCCCGTAGCTATGTTCCTGGCGGTGACGACACGCTTTTGCCCAACCCCGGAGTGGAGGTGCCAAACCCTAGTAGTGGCAGCAGCGTTCCTACGCCATCTGGCAATTGAGTTTGCTTATTAATTAGCTGGGTTTTTTTTCCAAGTAAAATAATTAAGTAACAACGGTGCAAATTGTGTGCTTTTTTTTTGGGTCATTAATATGGGCTTTAGTGCACCATTTTATGTTTAAGTATTTATACTATTGTAGTTTGCTATCAAAAAAGAAAATCTTCTTTTCTTAACAGCCTTTGGTTTTGAGGCCAAGTATGCTACTTATGTAATTTTTAAGGCCAAATCTTACTAGTACTCCTTCATCTTATTATTTTGTACCGCTTTAGTCCATTATGTTTCCATTGTCTCATTTTCATCCTTTAGCAATTCATCTCACTATAGTCCTTCCATGTATAATTTGGTTAACTTTAACGGAATCTTTTATTTAATAGATAGATGGAATATTCCATTCTTATAATTACTTTTAATAAACTATAAACAAAATAAGAACAATATATAGAAAAACATATATCGAATTAGTTCTTTAAATACTAACATAAAATTAAAAAATATAAATAAATTCAAAGAAATAATATATGTAGATGATATATCATAATTAATAGATAGGTTCCTAAAATTAAGTCATACCAAAAAAATAAATTTAAATGTATATTTGTGAATTAATATAAATTAATGTGTTGCATACTTTTTTTTTAAGTTATATTTTTATAAATTATATTTTTCTTGGTTGTAAATATTATTTTTTACTTATAAAATTAATTATTTATTACTTTTTTCTTAATTTATCAAAAATATTTAACAATGGAATATTTCATCCAATTTTAACGAGATTCCGTTATAGTTACCAAATTTATACGCCAAGGAAGTAAAATGATAAAAGTGTAAGGTTGAGGGATGATAAGAGACAATAGAGACATGAGGGTCTAAAGCCGGACTAAAAAGTAAAATGATAGACTATCTACGAGATTTTGCCAATTTTTAAAGTACGTTAGAAAAATGATTGGATCAATGGAAATGGAGTAACTAAATACTAATAGGGAAATTTATATTAAAGCCCATGATTGCCTACTTATTCCCAAATAGATCCTCTCAAATATGTTGCCTTTTTTTGTTTTTGTTTTTTGGGCTTATTTTATATACCCCTAGGTTCCTAATAAATTAGGGAAAAATTCAAGCATAAATCATCCTTATGGATACCCCTGGTGAGAGGAAAGTACTATATTACCCTTATATGCAATTTCGCCCAAACTACATTTAGTATTTTTGGTTCTGCATTTAGCACTTTTGCTGATTTGTTTATTTATTTTTATAAAAACTTGTTTTTTTATTTTGTTATTTTTTTTATATGTATATCTTTTTTATTAATTGTTTTTAGTTTTCTTTACAAAAAAATATTTTTTTTAATAATTTTTTTTTTTAAATTGATATGTTTACTATACTAAAAAGGAGTACATGTAGCTGTAGTAAACTATAGTCATTCGTAGTAATGTTCTTTCTTTTTATCCCGATTTTTTAGTCGACCAATTATGTACAAACACGAATATGAACGTTTATACAAAAAAATTATAAACACCAACAACAAAAATGCACAATTTAAATATGTATATGATAAATCTACTCATAACCAACAAATACCAGTCGAAATACAAAATTACAAGCATATATTACTACATGTTACTATATGTTACTAGTAATGCATAATAATAAGTAGTAATGTACACAGTCTCTAGAATACTGTAACTTGAAGCAGATGTCAAAATCATCAAATTCGTCTACAACTTCAACCAAATTTTTTGACACCTTCAAGGACATGATCCATGGCTTCCATTAAGCTGTCATTGCAAAATCAAAACAAAAAAAAATTATTTTAGTGCAAATTAACAAAATTTGTAGCAACATCAAAACATTACAAAATCGACAAACGGAGAGGGAGAGAGAGAGAGAGAGAGAGAGAGAGAGAGAGAGAGAGAGAGAGAGAGAGAGAGAGAGAGAGAGAGAGAGAGAGAGTTCATAGCTGCGAAATGCTACGAATTTTAGACCAAATCGCCAATGACTCCTCATCCCTAGTGCCTCCTACCAAAACCCTAGCCGCCGCTAACCACCCAATGTTCCGCGCTCGCAATGAAAAAAAATTATAAAAATAAATTTGACCATTAAAAATTGATCAAAATTTCAATCAAAAAATAGATCTCGATGAGAGGAATCCAACGGTGGGTAGCCCGTCAAATTCCGGCTGCCGGAACATAAATTACACCTCCGGCAAGATCCACCGTCATCGAAATACGCACCGACTGTAAGACGATTGCAAAAATAGATCCAGAGATCCAAACTGTATGAAATCACCACCAAAAGAAATAGCCGAGATGAATCTAATAGTAGCTAAGCCATCGAATTCCGACCACCGGAGAGATAGTTATGACTCCGGGATGCAACATCGCCGGTTGAAAACCTATCGGGGCAGGATTTGGATTCGAAAGTTGAGAGATGAAGAGAGACAGTTGTGAGTCGGCTAGGGTTTAAAATTGATTTTAAAAGGTCATTTTAGGTACTTCAAAGTGGTCGGAGGTATCCCAAATATCAAAATGGAGGGGGAATGCACTAAGATGTAATTTCCTTGGTGGTTAGATCCAAATATTTTTCATATGAGGGGTCCCTAATATAATCCCTTTTTTGTATGATTTTTCCCATCAACACCGATCAACAGCATTGAATGTATATTTTTTGTTTGAAACTTTTTTTTATCTGAACATCTTTTCCCGGTAAGCACAACAATATTATTGTGTTAAGCGACAGTAAATTTTGGAGAAAAGAAAATTAATATTAATGTGTAACACATTAGTATTAACAGTAAATTTATTGCGTCACAAAGTAATTCTTAATTCCCACGACAATTCACTCCTAAGTAATATTAATATTAAGAATTTTTGAGTTGTTTGATTCGTGAATGTTGGGATTGAAGTTAGTGGCGTTTATGCTTGATCACAGTTTTGACGACACTAGAATTCACTAGAGAACCTTGGAAGTGTGGTACTGGTGGAATAACTTAGTATTACAAAAACGTATTTGATCCAATATTGAGCATTTCAAGCCGCCTTCAAATTTAAAATTTATCATTAGAATCTTGATTGAGCCTTGAAAAATCAGCGCTCATTTACATTGTTTCCTAAAATGCGTTGAGAGATTGAGAAATTTCTTGATTAGATATCCCATCTATGCTTATTATTGATTGATTATCCTCATTTGGGGAACAAATGGAATGTGTAGTAAAAAAGAGGATATTGGCACCACATTCTCGAGATTAGGTTAAACAATCGGGTTGTTTAGTGTAGAAGATTGTCATTGATTTTATTCCATGTTTTTTTGTAAGGAAATTAGTTAGTCCATAATTTCTAGAGATTTTATTGTGTAGGATTTTATTTATTTCCTTATTAGTTGTATTAGATTAGGAAAGATACTGAAAAGATTCTTTCTTATCTAATTTCGGTTGCAGAGATCATAAAGGATTTTATTTCCTTATGATTGATTTATTAGGACTCAAATTAGATTTAGGGTGGTGAATATAATGCCTATACAAAGTCCTCAACCTCATATGAGTTACAATTAAGTTGAATCTAGTTTCAACATAACTACCCAACGAATCAAGATTGGCGTCTAGCAACTACGCGTCATGATTCCCTAGATACAAATGAAGTGCCTGCAAGAACATTGTGATATAGTTAACGTGTAGTACGATCCCTTCGATACATATATCCCGATTGAACTAGAGGCATTGGTTCGTCGAGACCTCTTTATGAGTTTAATAATTGTGTGGACATTCTTGATTATATAATCCGTTCGTGTTTGACTTAGAGAAATATATTTATCTTATCACGACACTTTCAGCTGTGGCCACAGACTTCATGGATTATAAATCGCAAGAACACACAGGATATCCATGACTACTCAAGCGATCGAATCTCCTACTACAACGCACAAACCTCCCACTAGATTTCGGACTGCACGAACACTGGCCCTTGGGGCGGTCCTCGGTGGAACTCAGGGACACGTCACGATACAGCTGGTCCTCTAGTGAAGTCACGGGGATGTCTGGGTCTTAAGGATTAATGGTGTACAACTATATCATAGAAACCTCTACTCGATTATTGGGAACCACTTAGAGATCTCTAGATTGAGGGAGTTCAGTGAACTCGTCAACGTATGAGCACCCACTTATGTATGCCGATGTCACAACACCGTTGACTGATGAGACGCAGTACACATACACTAAGTGCTAGTCTCGAATGGGAAAGGCCAATATCCTCATTAGTGGCGTAACCCATTGACTAGGAACAATGTTTAACAGTTACTATACTTAAATAAATAATCTCACGATTCTACTAGATCTATTTACAGTAATTAAGTAACTACAAGGACTACATCTATGCTTATGCAAGGGACAAATATATAGAATGCCAAGGGGGTTTTGTCATTAATACGAAATAGATTATTTACGAGTAGCGTGAGAAAACACAACAATTAGTTGGCTCTTCGGTCACCTACTCTAACACAAGAGTATGTACGTTAGGAATTGGGGGGCAATCAAGCAATGGTATATTCCTAGACAAATTCTCGTAATAATTTATAGCATATCAGGTAAAAAGTCAGGCATAAGTCTACGATCTAAAATTGTAGCAACCAAATATAGCTCAGGAATATTCATATAACATTTGCAAAAAAAAATCTTAATCATTCAAACACGGAACTAAAATTTCAATTTGCGCATAGCTTCGTTAATAACACCGAAAATATTGCATAACTGATAAACAACTAAATGAGCAGTATGATAATAAGTATCAGATATTAAATCATTTTTTTTTTTGAAAAACTGTATAAAACATTACATACTGGAAAGCATGTATCCCATTCAGAAGGTAAAATATAAATTTAAGCATGTGGAAATTGCGAGTTAAAATATTAACATAATAAATCTTAATATTCAAAATTTGTTTTAAAAGTCTATATGTTGAATTCCAATA